CTTATACCCTACAGGTCTCTATCCCTCAGAAACTTTCTGTTCTTCCAGTAATTGCTAGTAGTAGGCTCTCAAATGCCAGGGCTTCTCAATTCACTTTTTCTTTTAATAAAGAATTATTTATTTAACTTTACTTATTTATTTTAATTTGACCAGAGAGGGGCAGAGTGAAAGAGAGAGAGAGAGGGGAAGTGAGAAAAACAAGTCACCAGGTCCAGGACTTGAACCACATCGGCCACGTGGGAGCCCAGCACCCTTAATCATCACACGACCTGCCGGCCCCTCTCAATTCACTTTCATGAAGACCTCAAATGTACAGATAAATATAGCCTAAGAGGCTTTTGGCAGATACACCCTGCTTGAACTCAAGCAAATGATGGAAGAGAAGACAACAGAGATCCTGTAGGTCAGGCAGACCTGGCTTAAAGACCTAAGTCTGCCTCTCATGCTGGGCCAGTGACATAACTTCTCTGCATTCAGTTTTCTTCCTCACAGAATGAAAATGCCACCACCTGCCCCCATGGGGTTGTCACAAAAATCCAGTGAGATAAAGTATGGGAAAGCACTTAGGACAGTATCTGGTTCATAGTTGGCAGTCATTAGCTTCATTTCTAATAGAGCTACTAAAAAGTCGACAGGGGGAGCTACCCAGATTTTTGTGTGTTTCTCCAAAAATAAACCTGGTAGAGTTGCGGTAGTTTTAAATGTATCCACATCACTTTAAGGATTGGTACAGAATTTGTGCTGCAGGATCAGCAGATGGCACAATGGATACAACGCTGGACTCCCACATAGTCAACTGTGGTCTGAGTCCTGGACCCCGTGGCTTGAAAATCATGCCAGGTATGTAGGCATATTTGCCCAGAATCCCAGGATGAGAATGAAGGAGAAGGGATTGCAGCATGGCCATCCCCCCGGGGAGTGATTTCTAACTTTCTCTCACTGTATCTGTTTCTGTTCAGCAAGATCATGTGCTCTATGGCCAAAAAAAAGAATTTGTGCTACAGAAGATGGGGGCATGACCTGGATTGATGCATGATTAGAGGCTACTAGGAACCCAAAGAGTTGTGGGGAAGCACTAAGACAAGAGAGAAGAGATGAAGATTAATGGGCTATCAGAACACTTCTCTGCAGTAGGTTCTGTTTTCTATTATTGCTTTCAGGCCCTGTGGGAGGAAGTGAACAGAGTGGATCTTAATTTTCTGCAAATCTACTTCTGTTGATGATTCTGAATGGCTCTGGCTAGGGTCTACTGGAGACTTATTTGCCACCACTGCACTGGTCACGCCTTCTAAAGCTGCAGGTTGTGTGTCTTCTTTGTCCCTCCAGATCTTCCATATGTCCAGGCTTTATCCCTGCAAAAAGTCACTCACTACACACCAGTCAACACTACACAGCAGGGCTGAGGTATGGCCAACCACCTAAGCTTTGAGTTACAGGAGGGCAAGGATCATGCTCCTCTTATTCACTCTGGTAGTCTAGAACAGTGCTGCTGAGCAAATATGTGCTGAAGGTAATTGTTTAGGGACTATCACAACCTCATTCCAATCATAGAAGAGAAAGTGCCTTTCCAGGAAAATTGGGAGTGTTTATACTGCTAAAAGGCCAATTTCTCTTTCACTTTGAAAGCCATTATTATAGCAGCTCAATTACATGATCACAAATACGTTTAATAAAGAGCAAAACATCTGAATCCAGGAGGGCAAGAAGGCTTGGGGAAAGGGCTGTTACATAATGAGACTTTCCTCAGCAAGCACCATGGGGTCATAAAAAGCTATGTCTAGGAACCACTTAAAATAGAAGAATTAAAACAAGTAAGAAAAACCTTGAAGGTCAGCCAAATTCCTTAGAGCTCTTTCCTACTTCTAGATTAAGGCCCTGGAAAAAGATATTTTGATGCTTTGCCCTTTAAAACACTGTGGAAAGGAAGATTAGGAAGGTGGTTTAGAGTGCAAGCTCTGGAAGCCACTGCCTGGGCTCAGTGCTCAGGGCCAGCTCCCCTACTTCCTAGCTGCATCACTCTGGGCCAGGAAGCCCTGGGCTCCAGTTGCCTGCACTGTTAAATTGATAACAGCACTAACCTCACAGGACCACTTCACGACAGGAATAAACTATGTGTGAAGCACATAAAATACTATCTACTATATAGCAAACACTCGAGAGAGATTATTGTTGTCGTTGTTAGTATTACATTGGAATTTTCTCAAGAGAAAAAAAAAATGATACAACCACCAATAGAATCCGAAGAGACATCCAAATATCTATGAATGATGAGGCTTTTTTAAAAAGACCACTCTGTAATATGTATCTTGAGGAAAATAGGAGAAACTATTTTAACTGTGAATGAAAATCATGTGCTAATCTTTGCTCAAGAGAGAGGCTTTAGGGCATCCAGATGTCCTGCTCCTAGAGGCATTTTAGATCTTTGAGAGAGAACTTTTCCCAGGAGACTTCATATCTGTAAAATGCCTGCT